AAGTAGGACACAAATATTTTTTCCTATTACAAAATTAATATATGTTTAATATAAAAAATTTAAGAAATGTAAAGTTGTGAGAAAGTAAATGTTACCCACTACAGACAAACCCTTAATATTCTGGTGTGTAGCTTTACATTCCGCATATACTATATACGTATAATTTATGTATTTATACATTTATGTATACACATATGTATTTATGTATACATATATGTTTATGTACACACAATTTTATATATGTATACACACACTTTTTACATATATAGTAAAAAAAATAGGGTCCTACTTTACCTTGTCTTTTGTATCTAGCTTTCTACACTTTGTATTATTGTGAAGATATTTCCACATCATTTGATTTTCTTCTGCATCATCAGTTTTAGTGGCTCCATGGTATCTTATTTGTATGGACGTGCATAATTTTTGTAACCATTTTCTGTGCTAAAATATGAGATTGTTCCCTGTTTTTCACTCTTAGAAGCCTGACTACAGTGAGCCTTCTTGCAGCTGTCTTCATGCACATGCGTGATTCCTTAGGATCAATTTCCAGGAGAGGACTGGTAGGCTTAAAGTGAGGGCTGAGGTCACTTGGATGGAAGTAGAGGATGGGGGAAGACAACGGGACAGGACAGATAAAGTAGCAATTGCAAGTGTTTTGTTGGTCAAGGAGCATCCCAGTGAAGTGAGAAGTGATACAAATGGAGAAAGGAGAAGCCAGCAGGGTCCTGCCATCATTGCTGGTTTCCGTAACTCTGATGTTTGCAAGGGTAAGAGAGAAGCGAATAATCCTGTGGTTGTTGTGGGGATGGAGGACTAGCTTGAGTCACCCAAGCCAAGAGTTCATGGGAGAGAGCAGGTTTTCTTTAAGGCACAGAAGCTCCAGTCTTTCAGTCTTTTGGGGATCTGAAGAAGGAAGTATTTACCTTACACCTTTCGTTGCTCTGCATGTAAGGCCTTTCCTCTGGCTTGACTCAAATGTATCCATTCTGGGCCGGCCGGCCTGGTGGCGCACTGGAGAGTGCGCCGCTTGGGAGCGTGGCGGCACTCCTGCCGAGGGTTCGGATCCCATGTGGTGACCGGTTCCGCTCACTGGCTGAGTGCGGCGCGGGCGCAACACCGAGGGTTGCGATCCCGTATCGGTCAGTAAAAAAAAGACAAAAAGGAAAAAAATAATGTATCCATTCTGGACAGTCCTAATACTAGCTAGACAGGGCCCATCAGGGTGTGGTATGGTTAGCAGGCATCTCTGATGTTGAGAACGAGATTGTCAGCCTCCTTTATTGTGTGCCAAGTGGGGCTGCTGAGCAGTGATGGGAGAGTGGGCAGCTGCAGCTGATGCAACAGACCTAGAAGCAGCCCTAGGGATCAGAAGACCAAGATGGAGGCCTTGGCCTGGCTGTCTCTTATTAGCTGAGTGAATGTGGGGACATTCTCTAACCTTTCTGGGCTTCAGGTTCTGCAGCTATGAAAGGGGGCTATGTAACTCCTACCTCACTTGGTTATCAAAAGGATTAAATTGGACAGCATATGTAAGCATCTACTGAGTGCAGGGCATTTTGAACTGCTTAATAATCTTATTTGAGTAAATCATTTAGTCCAACTTCAATTTCCTCATCTGGTAAATAGGGGTAATAATACCTTCTGAGAATTAAATGAGATAAAATGTAGGAGCTTTGAAATGATGAATCTCAACAAAAATGTATTGTTCCTGGGCATGTGCAAATGACTGCCCTGGGTATGTATGGGTGCTGCTAACAACCACCGGAGGGTCGGAGTTTGTCAGGCACAGCAGACTTAGACTGTATATGTGGCGAAGGGGAGAATGAAAGACACAAAGGTAGAAGAACTGGATATTCTGTAGAATCTCATCTTATAACCAGGATTAGATTTCAAAATCAGAGCATGAGGTCAAAGCATATATAGTCAAAATTAACTACCCTTGAAGTCCCTGAACTTGCCACAGAGCATCTCTCAGAAAGTCCAATAGAATCAGTTCATCCTCCAGCATGGGAACAGATTGCCTTTTCTTCATTTGGGCACCAGCTAAAATACTGATCTTAGGTTTTGGCACCATGCTGAATTAAAACCTTAGCATCACACAGTGAGAGACGTATGGAAACTGAGACCAGCTGAGGGAATGCAGATTCACACCTCTCATCCTTCTTAACTCTCATCTCCTGCTCACTGTGGGTCTTATGCTCCATTCAGCTGGATACTTACTTTAACAGATACTTACTGATCATTTACCATGTGCCAGACGCTGTGCTAGATACTGAGAACAGTAGTGAAAGGACAGACCCAGAACCATGGAACTTCATTCTAGTGGGGAGGCAGGCAATAAACAAGCAAAAAATAGTTTGTTAGATAGGAGTGCTGTGGGAGACCAAGCAAGGCAAGGCTTTGGAAGTTCTGGAGTGGCAAATTGGGAAGACCTGCTGGGAAGCTATGATTTTCATAAGCTCTGCAGGAGAATAATCATATGGATATGGGGGCAGAGGAAGGGATCTGAGCCAGCAGAGAGAACAGCCAGTGCAAAGGCCCTGAGGCAGGTGGGAGAGTGCTTGTATGTTTGAAGATAGTGAGGAGCCCAGTGTGGGTGGAGGGGTTGGGGTGGGGTGTGATGGGGATGAGGTTGGATGCTGTAGGGCCTTGAGAGGAGAAACCACTGGAGAATTTTGAGTAGAGGAGGAACAATATGTTTGCCAAGATCACTCTGGTTTCTGTGTTGAGAAAATCTTGGAAACAGATGAGGGAGCTAATTAGAGGACAGTTGCAGTGGTCCTGGTGAGAGACAGTTGGGGCTTGAACCAAAGTGGTGAGAACTAGTTAATTCTGGATATTTAGAAGTTAGAGCCACCATTCCATTTACTATCAGATTAGATGTGGGGTATGAATCAAGGAGATGAGTTCAAGGAAAACTCCAAGGTTTTTAGCCTGAGTCAAGGGATGGATGTCAGCTCACCATTAACTGAAGTGGGGAAGCCTGTGGGAGGAGTGGTGGGGATGTGGTCAGGAGCTTGGTTTAGGACAAGTTTGAGATGCTACCAGATACCCAGGGAGAGATGTGGAGTGGGTGGGTGGATATGTATAAATCTGGATCAAGATAGAAGTTCAGGCTGGAGATCAACGTTTGGGAGTCATCAGTATATAGGTAGTATTTAAAACCATGAGATGGGATGAGAGCTCCCAGGGAGTGAGTGTAGGTAGAGAAAAGGTCCAAGGATTGAGCACCTGGACACCTACATTAGAAGGTCGGGAGATGAGAAGAAACCAGCCACGGAGACGGAAAAAGTCAGGGGAGGACAGAGGAGACTCAGGAGTCTGGTGTCCTGGACACCGGTGTTTAAGGCAGAGGGACACGGAGAAAGATTCTTGCATTGTTTGAGTAGTCATTTCTCTCTCTCTCTGAGTACTGGCAGTTATATTTGGAAAATGTGAAATACACATATGCAGTTCCACCAGGTTCCAGTTTGAAAACACACATTCCAGTAGCATGCAAGTCTGGGAAAGGCAGTTGGAATCACAAACACACAGTGTAAGATTACCTTGCTCTACTCTAACATAGCCTGGGGACGGACATCTGGGCCAAGGAGGGCTTCTCTGAGACATATGGCACAGTGGCCCGGCCAGAGACTTTGTGTGCAGCCAAGCGCTTTAAGCCTCAGTTTCCCCATCTGTAAAATGGAGCTCTAATAACAACCTCCACCCTGACACGTTTGAGAGGAATCAAAGAGGAGCTGCACGTGAAATGCTCAGGTAGGCCCAGACACTCACCGAACTCTCTGTAAATGTGAATGATCCTGTGAATCTCCAGGCCTCTGTCGCGGGTTCTTAACACCAAAGACTCAGATTCTTCTCGGTATCAGAGCCTCATGGGAAGGCCCTGCACAGATCTACTCACCCATTTCTTGCACCCCCCCCCCCCACGGAGTCCCCCCCCTTCTGTCATTCCAAGAATCCTTAATTCCTTTTGTGTTTGCCTTTTTGACCCACCAATTTTTTTTAACCTTTTTGTTTTTT